AAAGTGAAGAAAGTTCATCTTTAAACCCGTCCTGCCTTTTGGACGTCGCAAGGTTAAAGACCTTGCCAATTGAGTAAGAAGTCCAACAACGACTGTATAAAAACTATGCAATGATGAAGTTATTCCTAAAACATTTGCTCAGAATTACTTACCTTGAAATACTCAACTTTATGTTGAAGGTATTCGGAGGATCTACTTGACCATGGTTTGAGTCCAAAGTTGCCCCCCAGTCCGCATCGGACTTCTTATGATACTTGATGCCTATGGTGTGATCTTTGAGATTGCGAGCAAAAAAATTCACCCCCCAAGTCAGGAAACCACTTCCCACAGACGGCGCCAAACATTGCGTCGCAGGTATTTCGCGCGGGCTAGCATAAACTAACGATTTATTCATCTTAGCGTTTGTGACGGAAACCCGCACGCAAATCAGATAAGAGAAATCCGGGATCTAGCATTTATGAACACCAACATCTTATACGTTTAGAGAAACCCCTGAAAAAAAGGGGAAAAACCACGGGCCAGCGCCATTTTTGAATGATCCGACTAGTATTTGCAGTTCTTTTCCTGGCTGGAGGTCTTATCTATGACATCTTATGGAGTAGCATTACATAGATGTAAATACCATAAGACTGCTATCACAGTATTCGCTTTTTAGATAGGACTGCAGTTGGCATGCGACGTAGGTCAGGAGGACCGATAGTCAAACTGGCGACGTAACCTGTAGGTCGGCGGGGGACGAAGTCAGAAGGAAGGACCGTACGTTGGCGGCAAAGTGACGGACGGTCGGACAAGACTATAGTCCGATGCAGCGATATATAGTCCAGGAGTGACGTATTCAGGATGGGCGTATGGATGTTAGGATAAGACTGTAGTCTGCGGCCGAGTAGTCAGAGAGGACCGTAGTCGGCTTACCGGTGAACGTGATTCGGATGAAGGACTTATAAAAGTCTTGAGCGACAAAGATCAGTAGGACAACGCCTCACGTAGAATAAGTCCAGCAACTGGAAAGAAATACATCAGATTCGCATTAGACGTTCCAACGAAGTCCGATAACCGGTGTAGAAGTCGCGACGGTCGGGGGTAGAAACTTGAGCTGAAGAGTCGAAGTGCGACGCGGGTAGAAGTTCGACGTCAAATTGGTGGCAGAGGGAAACTACGGCTTCACTGGGCGGAGAATAGAAGTTTCGGCACCAGGAAAGGGAACTTTGTTGTAATTGGGAAAATGGAAATTTCGAGCGATCACATGGAAGTTGTGCCAGGATTCATACGTATCCTGGAAACATCCGGAAGCGAAAGAGCTCCGGCGCGTGCGTCCGAGAAGGTGAGGAATCTCCTTTTTTCCCCTTTCTCCGTCTTCTTATTCTCTTCTTCACTTGAGTGCCCTTTAGTGTAGAATGATGGGCTGCTTTTTTAGTTTTCATGAGTGCATAGCCCGTAAAATAGGCGTTTGAGATCAAGAGCGAATTGGAAGTGTTTCTGACATGGACGGCGAATATTGAATCCTTTTGATCATGACACCGTCGTTGAAAATTTGAATCCATAATGATGTCGGAATTCTAATGATCTTGGGCTTGTTGATTGTCTTCGTTGAGGCCGTTCCGATTCGAATTATAAGCTCGTCAAAAGTCGGAGACCGTTTGGTAATACCAAATTGGCGGTTTGGAACCTTCCAACAGTGCTTTTGAACCTTGATTTGGACCTCATTTGGGGCATCGCGATTGGGTTGATCTTAAGGTGTCGTTGGGTTTGTATTTCGTAGACGCTCAGTCGTTGACGTATAGTCGTTGAAATCGGAGTTCGGCGTGCTTTCCCAAATTAATTTTGAAGTTCCAACTAGCTTTTGCCTCGAGATTTCTGTGCTCGATTCAAGCTAATTTTGTTGATGACGTAATCAAAGGTATATAAATATCACAAACATAAATGAACTCCTAAGGATGTGAGACTAACAAACTAATAATTTTTAGGTTTTAACATTCAACAATGTGCTGGCATGAGACTTGGTTTGAATGAAACATGTTGTGAAATTTTGTTTTTTAGAATATATAAATAAAAAAAAATCATCATGTTGATAATTTTTTAAACTTCTTAAATTTATTATTATTATGTATATTTATAATTTTCTTCATAAAAAATAATTTTATAATTTTTGCATGTTTTCCATAACTTTTTCTGAAGGGGTGTAAACTTAAAATGATAGAAAAAAATTTCGTTAAAAGATACATATTATATGACTTTTATAAATATAGTTTAATATAATGTAAAATTTATGATATGTAAATTATGGACTTAAATACATAACATAAAACATTTATTTATATCAAATTTAAATATTATACTTATTTAGTAATAAATAAATTTTTATTAGAATATATATTAAAATTGAAGATTTGAAGAGGTTATATTTAAATTTAAAATTGTATTATTTATTATAAGATAATATAATAAATATAATAGATTATATATTCTAATTTTATAAATTATTTAATATATTGATATATGTTGATTTTATTTATTATTAGCTCAAAATTCTTATAATTATAAAATTTATTAAGATAAATTGTCATTATTATTATGTTAATTTTATTTTTTAATAATATTATTATTTTATGTACGATCATCCGGCTTCAACCCTTGAATGTCGAACCGGTCGATAACCAAATCGAATCATGAACCTCTCACTTCTTAGATTCGTTGTCCGATCGATTGTTTGACAACCTTGATCATAAAAGAGATAAACATTCATGTATCCAACTTCCTCCACTCCATTTCACTCGATATCCCCTCAAGTAACCGGTGAGTATTTATTTACGTGGCAGTACTTTGGTCCGTCAAGATCACGTGAGAAGCTGCAGGATAGGTTTGCGCTCAACAGCTTTGCACGTGATTCTCTTCTCACAAATTTTGAATTACACCCATTTGAAACCGCAGAGCCCTGGGTGTCGCATGCGGGTTGCATCTAGAGAAAAACATCCCGTCACCAAGCATTTTATTTCGATTCTGCTGCGCGGAATCCAAGCAGCCTACAAACCCGATTAAACCTAAGCACATCACGTCCACTATATAAATATCTCTCTTAGGACCTGTACAATGATTTTTCCATAGGCAGCCTTCGACTTTCTTTTCCCGCAAACCCTAGCTAGGGTTTTTTTTTCTCAATTTCTTGTCAATCTAATCGTAGTCATCTCGTCGTTCTAATAGTTCTTTATTTGCCTGCGGATTGGATCTATCTTCAACCATGAATTCATTCGGTGGAGCTCGGAAGAGAGGTAGGCCTCACGGTACCATTGGGAACGGCGGCGTTCCTGGCTCTAAGCGATCCAAAGGTATGTTGTTGATGTTATTTTCATGTTTTCTCTCTCTATCTATATTGCGTATGATCATTTCTTTGTTAGATCTACCAACTGGTCTATATTTCAGGTACAGATGTTTCCAATTCGTGATGTTCTTTTTTTTTTTCCTTCAATTTATGGCTGAGGCGTCCTTTTATAATTGTTTTCTCTCTTTGTTCTTGAGTTTGATGTCAATAGTACTATGAATGCATTTTAATGAGTGAATTGCAGCATCTTTTTTGGTTTGCTCTGGATCTTTGATCTGTTGCCTTTTCACTGGAATAATCTTGTGATAAAAGTTGTACAAGTTTTCATATAGTATTGCATTAGAATTTCCAGTTGACTGTCATTTTAAATTATTTTGAATTACTGTTGTAAAGGGTGTGTGCTGCATTACAATGTTTTTTTCTTTTTTTTTTCGCAATTTTGTTTATATGTTGAAAGAACCTATTGGTTAATTAATTATTTCATTTAGGAAAGTCCACTCAATTAAGGAAGTTGTTTTTCACTAGATTTATGGTAATTGTTGACGCTAGATTCATGCGTGGGGAAATTGATTCGAGGATAAATGGAAAAAAACTACTTTCCATGTTACCTTAGTTAAGGTTTTCATTGTTTTATCAATATTTTGTTATTTGGAGAATTGTTTTTGATTTGAAACCAATTTTGCTGGCATTTATTGGTTCTCATCAAGGGAACTTTCCATTGGTTTAAATTTTTTTTCAGATTGTTTTTGTTGACATTATTTTTAAAGGGCTTTTGAATATCTTGAGATGATTTTGATAACAAAGATCCTAGAATAAATTAATCACCTCAATCTGTTGGGCTTAACTTATCAAGTGTGAACTAATAATATGAGAATTATTCGCATTGATTAAAATTACATATGTATAATGTGATGCTGCATTCTACGGAGTTGCCATGTTGCATGTACATGCTTACAATGCTGCATGTTGAATGGTGGGATTATTTGAACAACATTTTATTTTTTTTTTATTTGATTGGCTTTACTATGTGTTAAGTAATGGGGTTCTTTGAACCTCATTTTTTCTTGATTGAATTGATGTACTTAGGGATTGGTGGATGATGCAGATGGTGCCACATATTGGATGATGTAGTTACATGGTCAATGAATGGATTACATATGACGATTAATGGGGCCAAATATACCATGGTTTTGGTTGACTAGGTCCATATACCCGGGGAAAAATTGAAGATAGGACTTCCTATAGGTTTCTATGGGTTGTTTGATATTGGATTTACCATTATTTTTGTGGTAACCCATGTTATATTTGTTGAAAGTTTAATCTTCGTGGAGTTGGGGCCTGGTGTTTAAGTGGTTACCACTTGAAAAAAATGTAACTCGTTAAAGAATAGTTTGTGTTGACCTAGTCGATTTTGTTGGGATCATCTACTGAGTTAGTGTTCTTGGAGTGTGCTACATGTTAGCTTTCATCAATTTGATGTGATTAGTATGAATCAAACAATAGACCCATTGGATTTTTTGTTCAATAAACCAATTCTAAACATGCAGGAGTCATTGTTGAGGTGGCCCTATTTGACAATGCTATTAGTCATTAATAGTGATGTTGCCCACCTACTTAGAATCATTTTGAAATATATTTTTTTTTATGGTTGCCTTATTTCTTAGGTTGCATAATTTTGGTAGCCAACATAGTTGAATCATGCTTGTAAGTGCCAATTTGGTCATACATGATCTAGTTTGAGTTTGGCATGGTCACCCTGGCAATTCAATATTTCTAGTTGTTTTTGGTGGCATAAGTGGTATTGGTAATAAGTGGATGATCTGGGTAGGTTATAGGGACCCTTGGAGGTGTCACCAAGTGATGAAATTGGGCAATGGAGGTTACATAGATTTTATTGCTTTAGTAATATCTTGAAAGCAGATGCTTTCATATAATTTTGTGATAGTAAAAAAAGATGGCATAGAAATTTCCTTATTTTGTTATAAGCTTTAATCTTTGAGTTGTTCTGATGGATTTCAGGTTTAAGAAAGGTTTGATGAATATTGGGGTTGTGCTTTATTTATATATACAGTTGAATTTGTGTATGAAATTAATCATCCATATTTGTATGTTTGATTAGTTAAGAGAAATCTGAGACCAAAAATGGTTTTTAGGATGAGCTTGGGTTCAAATATTAATTTCTTTAGTGCAATCCTTATTCTTATGATTTGGCTTAAAGAATTGCGTAGATATTATGAAATTTGATTTTGATGAAGATTCTATCAAAATATATCTTGAATAAAACTTTTTAATGCAATATGCTAGCCTTACTAATCTTAAGCAGCTTATTGATTATAAAGATATAGTTACATTATATACATACATATACATGCATACATCAAGACCAATTTAAATCCTGAAACAAAAGAATCCCTTGCAAGATAATAAATATCTACCTTAAGGTTAGCATATTGGATAAAGAGAAAGAATCATATTTTTTAATATCTATATAATTTGTTAAGACAGAATATTGATAGGCATGCAATGGAAATCTTTCTTTTATATATATATATATAATATATATATATATATATATATATATATTCTTCAAGACCAATTTAAAACGAAAGAAACCCTTGCAAAACGATCAATATCTATCTATTGAAGTATTTAAGACAAAAAATTAGAATAGGCATGCATTATAGAAATCTTTCTTATATAATTATATATATTCATCAAGGCCAATCTAAATCATGAAACAAAAGAAACCCTTGCAAAACAATCAATATCTATCTTAATGTTAGCATATTTGATAAAGAGAAAGAATCATATTTTCTAAAATCTATATAAATTATAAGAAAAAAAATAAGTAGGCATGCATTATAGAAATCTTTCTTTTATATATATATAATCTTATGTACGCCTTATTATACTACTGTATAAGTGTATATATATATTTATATATATTTGAATTTGTTTTTTGTAGCTTGAAGTTCGATACTGAAAAATGATGTATAGGATGAGTTCGGGATCAAATCATCAAGTTTCAAATTTTTTATTTTATTTTATTTACTAAAACAATAAAGATATTTACAATGTATGGCTTATTCTTATTACCTTGCATGTTTTCTACTTCTTTCATATCGAGTTGGCAAATTGATTAACACTTTTTATAATTTTTTTTCTTTTTATGTTTTTTTTGTCCATAGACAGCTAAATACATGTGTTGAAAATTTTCATTGTCACGTAGATGTGTTATTAAAAAAAACTTCAATAAAAATCTCTTCAACTATATTCTAACCATAAACTAGACCTCTCTAAAAGTTTTTAAATTGTTCTTGTTACATTCAAATTATGAAATTTATTAACTCACTGTTAATCAGTATACATATTAACTATGTTAATGGTACCAATATATTTTTCATGTTTTATAATCATCAAGATCAATAGATTAATTAACATGTAACTGAGAACATAAGATTAATTTCATGCAACAGAAATGGACTCAAGTCAACCTGGTTTAGGAAGCAAATCGAAGCCATGCACCAAGTTTTTCAGGTTCTAATCTTAACCTATGACAAATAAATATGACAAGTTGAACTTCCTTTTCTTGTTTTAATCTTATATAAATTAAACGTGAATGCCTTCATAATTTCATTTAACTATACTATACTTTAATCTACTGAATTCGTGATCTAAGCTTGTGATACAGGTTCTGAAATAAGCAAGATAACAAGCTTTTTTCTACAGTAATTTTGTCACAAACAAGATTGGACATGGAATTAACTCATACCAGCTTATGTGAAAATAAGCACATACAGAGGCAATGGAAGTAAAATAGTGCTCCATAGAAAAATTATTTGGTGATAAGTTCTTGATATATTGGAGAATGCATCAATTTAATCTTTTTTTAGCTTAACATTTTCTATTCTCAAAATTAGAAATGTATTTAGAGTTTTTATACAGCAAATGATGGCTTCCTTTCTAAGAAAGGGACGCCTAATATGGGGATACGAAAGATCTTATGGTAAGAGCTATTTATTACATTATATTTTTAAATGCCAACCAAAAGTGAAGATTGTAGTATAGAGCCCCATCAATTGCACCACTTAAATAAGTGATCTTTTTAAGCTTTTACAATATTTATCAAGTTAATTTTTGTGCTTTTGTTTAAATGCTCTATACATTATTCTCTTTTTGGTCAATATCGTGTTTTTTGGGTTTCCTTAAATCGCTCAGTCTTCTTTTGCATTATTTGGTTTGGTAATCTTATTTGACTGCTTCAATTTACAGGTGAATCTTTTTCTTTTTGTTTAGCCACATAGTGACCAGTTTTATTTTCAGTTCATTTTTTCTGCAAGGATTCACACATCCCTCTAGAAATGCTTTTCCATGATTGCTGTCTTGTATTTATTCTTTATTTTTGTTGCGATTTGTGGATTTTAGGATGCTCATCTATTCATTTATTGAAGGAAGTTGTCATTAATGATGCTAAGGATTTTTATAATTTTTTAAATGATTATTGTTTTCTATCATGGCATCTATAATGTTTAAATGGATCTCAGTTTCTGTCAGAATTTAATGATGCTTTGTTGATGTAAGTTAAGCTGGCTGAGTTACAAAAAAAATAATTTAAGAACAATAAAATGGTCTAATCGATGCATTATAATCTTTATCACCATTGACCATGCCAACTATTGAGGCTATTTGATTCATGCTCTAGTTATTTCTATTGCAACCTACGGAAAGTGTGTTCTCTCGTTTCTGCAAGTTTTTTTTAGCACATGTACACTACTTTTTTTTTACCCTTATTGCTTTCTATTTCTAATGGTGCATGCTCTACATTTTAAGTGCATGTGAATGATTGAAATTTATTTTTTCATTTAAATTCTTTGTTTTGTGTTTAAATTTTTTGTTTTGATTTTTTAAATCTATCCTTTTTTTACATTGTTGCAGTTTCATTTTATTTAGTTCTCTTTGGCTCATCTGCATGGAATTTTGTTGCAATTATTTTCTTTGTTTTGTAACAGTAAAATGTGTCAAGCATAGTTTGTCCAGTTATAGGCTTATGAAATGACTATAATTTCTCAGAGATATTTCTCATACTAAGTTCTTTAATTATAGATATTATGCTATCATTGCCATCCAATCCTTTTTATGAAGTACAAGTTACTTGAACCTCTTAAAGTTATGTATTAACTTTCTAGCATTATTCTTTCATTCTATGGTGCATCCTCAAGATTTGTATATGGTGTACTCGGTTTGTCTTTATATTTATTATTAGAAGTCCCAGGTATTTTACTGAATTATATTTTGATAAGAGGTATCTGTTTTTAGATTTATCATCTTCAATCACTATAGAATAATTTGCTTTAACTAATCAGGAGATAATTAAGTTCTTTTATTTTACAGCTTATATATATATATATATATTATTTTTATTTTATCTATATTTATATTTTACATCTTATGTATATTTAATAAACTTTTTTATTTTGACAATACTTTTTAATATCAATCTTGTAAAATTATATAATGTTCTTCTGTTTGTATGGATTTAAAATTATTTTGGCAGTTATATTATGCTTATAAAGTTATCTAATATGATAAGTGTTGTTTAAGAGGATGAAATGGTAATTATCATGTTAAATTATTATATAGATAAATAATAAATTCTTTAGTTTCATGGTATTCAAGTTCAAGAAACATTCTAAATATATTAATAATTTAAAACAAGTAAATATAAACTAAAGTTTGGAGTAATAATATGCTGCAACATAAAAAAAAACTTGGTTCTAGGCATGTAAACTACAAACTTCCTTTCAAAATAATAAAAACAAACACAATAACAAAAAACATAGCAACACTTACAACTTCTAATAGAAAAGGACACAACAACACATTACAACTTCAAATAAAAAAAGGACACAACAACACCTTGCAACGTATAAAAGTTTTAAGAAGAAGGATGCAGGTGGAATGAAAATCGTCGAGAGGAGTAATTAGAATCCCGAGACAAAATATAAGAAGGATAGTAGAAAAGGATAGCTCACAAACAAACCCGCAGGTTTTGAATGATCACATTTCAAAAAATTTTCAAAGTCTCTCTCTCTCTCACAAAGAAAATCAACCCCAATTTAATAGGAGAAATAACAGAGAATAGCATCTAATAGATCACATAAAAATACCTCCAAAATAGTCACTAAAATCCAACAAAACAGCCCACATTTAAAGCCTCCTCCTGCATAGGAATCAGCAAAGAGGTAGCAGCATGAGAAAAAATAGCCAGTATAGGGAAAGCTAGCAACACTTGGGGAAGACCAAACAATACTTAGGGAAGACCAAACAACAATAGACATACGAGTAAACAATAGAGAAAATGAGTGGATGGCAGGGAAACTTAGAGATAGTTGGGAAACCGAGGGGCCAACATGGAAAATGAAAGGTCAACGAAAAAAATTGAAAAGTCACTGGAGAAAGAAATCTAGAAACACAAGTAGAAAATAAAGGAAAACATAAAATGGCACCTCTTGACTGCATCAATATAAGGATAATCAATTTTTTACAATTCTTCATTCTTCTCATTATCCATGATATGTTATCTTTCACTAGAGTCTTCGCTATCATCTCAACTCTATTTTTTCCATATATTCCTCTTAACTTGATGATTTTCCACATGATATCTTCAAGTTCATGTGCCTACATTTTGTCAAATTGTTTTCGTAGAAGCACGGGCATTCGTTACACACTTGATACTTTTTCACAACATCACATGTTACATTTTTACCATAAAAAAACAAGTCATCTTAACTAAGGATTAGCATCCATTTCTCAAATCAAGTCAATATGCCATCCTTATTGCCTGACACCTATAAAGGAAGTTGCTTACATAAAATGACCATAAATATTAATTCATCTTTATCCTCTATAACGGTGCCCTCTTGGGACATATGTTGGGTGTCACCGTTTTGCCTAAGTGCCTACTATCATTCCTTTGACATCACTGATTGCGATCTATATTTTTCAAACATGATTAGTGTCTAAAGTTTTTAAATATAACATAAAGCGATACAACAACAACATCAAGCCTTTATCCCACTATGTGGGATCAGCGCCGTGAATCCTTTTCCTCCATTGTATTATATCACAGTCAAATTCTCATTTAAATCTAATAAAGAAATGTCATTTCTAATATTTTTAACCAGATCTTTTTAGGTCTACCTCTACTTATCTTAACATAAGCTAATTCTAATACATCTACTCTCCTAATTGGATCATTGGAAGGGCTGCCTTTTTATGTGACCAAATCATCTAAGGCGACTATCTCTAATCTTATATGTGACTGGAGCTACTCCAACCTTTTAACATATAGTGCTCGTTTCATATCCTATATCTAAGAGGAAAGCCCCACTCATCCTCATCTCGGCAACACTTAATATTATGCTTCTATTTTAATGGCCAGCATTCTGTGCCATAAAAAGCATTGCAGGTCTCACCACCATCTTATAGAAGTTTCCCTTAACATATAAGCGATGTTTTAGTTAAATTTAAACTCCCAGTACTGACTACTGATCGCCTACCATGGTTTTTATTGAAAGCATATTAAGTCATAATGCTGTTAATTCTTGCTATGGTTTGTATTGCCAGTTATAAAACATACTTCAGTTTATCTTGTCCTAAAAACATCCATTGTTGACTATGTATCTCAGCTGTTACAACTCGTTTTTTACATATCCTTTTATTTATGGAATCAATTTAGTGAGCTCTTAATACAGCAAATGATGTACTGGCATTCATCTTGTTTAACGCGCTCCATATCTATTTGATTAGACGTTGAAGTTTATTGGATTTATTGAACGAAATCTATTAGTGGGAATATCTAGGATTATTTTTGGTATTGTTGTCCTATGATGTGGTGTATGGAGTGAAAAGGCTTATTTTAAATAAAATTGCTGTTTGTATTGCTTTCTTAAGTGGTTTTATCGTTTGTTTATGTTTTATGAATCAAGACTAAGAACAGTCTATCACGCAATAACTAATAATTTAAGATAATTAATATTAATCAACTAAATAATTAATAATCATATATTAATTCCTTAGTAATTATACTTTTTAATTTAAATTGGATTATTTATTTTCCAATATATGTATCAAATAATCCATAATTAGGTTGATCATATATATGATAAGTTAATATCTTAATTATAATTAATATATAATTAATTAAACCATTTAATTTTAATATATTACTTAAATTAACGTATTATCCTGATAATTAGTTAGCCTAATTTAGTATCTATTTTTTCTAATAATTAATTAATAAGAGATGGACGTACATTTCAATTTATCAATTAATTAAAATCTGAATAATTATAATACATGATATGTAATCAACATTTAAATAGTTATATCTTAACCTAAGTATGATTTAATTATTATTTATTTGCCTGTTTTTATTGCTATTTTCGACTAAACAATTATAAGGGAGTTATAGTTGGGGGCATTTTTTCTCATATAAAGTTGAAATATAGTCAAATCAGATTTTCTTATAGTACCTAGCATTATATTGACATGGAAGTTCCTAAGGGTCCTCAATCAGCCAGCACCTAGCAGTATTGGCGTGGAAGTTTTTAAGGTGTTTGTTCTGATGAAAAGTTAAGTTGTATGAAAACCAAATAGAGTTTTCTTAGTATGATGGTTCCGAAATCTCTTTGGAATAGTGCTTTTACTAAGCTTTTTATTCACAAAATAAATAAATAATTTTTTTAAATAAATTCTGATTCTATGAAATTCATAATTACATCCATTTGGGTCTTTCAGTAGAACTTGTATCAGTTGCATGGTGATGATTTTATTGAATAACCACAATTTAGATGATACTTGATACAGCAACTGTAACATAATTTCACGGCACATGTCACAATACAATGAAAAAAAAAAAAACTTCAAAGTTAAAAAAATATTGTTAAGAAATATAAAAAACATTAAAATGTACAGCACAACATACCTTTATGTGTTCGTATGCTACTGCATATTTTTTTAGCTGTATTAACTAGCTTATCCTGTTCTTTTAACTTTATTTAATTGACGATTAAAGATAATTTAGTGGAATATAGCTGCTGCTTTTAGCAACTATTCAGCTTGCTTTTAAGGATATGGAAGTTTCGACATCAGCCACATGTTTTTTCCTTATCTTTCTAACAACGTCTAACATTGTTCCACAATGTAAAGAATTTGGAGCAGTTTTAGATCTTTATTTATTTATTTTTTTGAATCTATTCTTCTGCTGAGGGTTTGCTTTCTTGAGGAATTTTGTATTTATTTTAGAACTGAATGTTAACTACTTTTATTGTTTAATGCAGCACTGCTGGATGCCCTTTCGGTGAGGGTTGTCACTTTCTCCACTATGTACCTGGGGGATATAATGCTGTAGCAAATATGACGGGGAACCCTGGTCATGCCCCTGTTTCAAGGAATCCCGTTGGACTGCCCCCTTTATCTGATGGCCCTCCAACACCAGCTGCGAAGACACGCTTATGCAATAAGTTTAATACTCCAGAAGGTTGCAAGTTTGGGGAGAAATGCCACTTTGCTCATGGTGAAAGAGAACTTGGCAGGTCCTTACATTCGGGTCATGAAGCCCCAATAGCTCCATCAATTGGTGGGAGGCTTGGTGGCAGGTATGAGCCGCCTCCACCCGCTGGCCTTGGTGCAGCGGCCAGCTTTGGTGCTTCTGCCACTGCAAAGATTAGTGTTGATGCCTCATTGGCTGGTGCCATCATTGGGAAAGGTGGGGTGAACACAAAGCAGGTATGCCGTCTGACTGGAGCTAAGCTTTCTATTCGGGATCATGAGAGCGATACAAATCTGAGGAACATAGAATTGGAAGGAACCTTTGATCAAATCAAGCAGGCAACTGCAATGGTACGGGAACTGATTGTCAACATCAGTTCATCTGCTGTGCCTGTGAAGACTGGTGGTCTGGGAGCTGCTGTTGGCGGCGGAGGCGGCGGCGGCGGTCCAGGTCATGGCCCTGGTAGCAACTTCAAGACAAAGCTATGTGACAACTTCACCAAGGGTACATGCACCTTTGGAGATAGGTGCCATTTTGCCCATGGGGGTAGTGAACTGCGCAAGGCAGCTGCTTAAAATGTTTCATGTTTTGTAAGTTGATTTAAATTGCCAGGGAGTATTCTGCAGCGCTAGTTTGTTTTCTCACTGTAGACAAAGTATTTATAAACTGTTAGTTTTCCGTATTGCTAGCATTGTATGTTTTTTTTTTGGTTTTAACCTTTGGGATTTTATTAGGATTTGTTCTGTCTGATTCTATTACACTTGTTTTCTACGACTGTACATTTTCAGCTGCTGCTTGTTTAGTATTTGGTACTGTGCATGTGTGTTCTTTTTGACCTGCTTCGCATTGCTTATTGGTTTGTGGAGTCTCCTTGAGTGGGATACGTGTTGTGAATGCGTAAATCCTGTTTGATTGCTGTTGAAGATTTTCTAGCACTTCAGCTGTCTTATGTGATAACGTTATACTGTGGTTTTATGATATTAATCTGAATGCTATGTTTTAAAGTTGCTTATTGTGGATGACATTTTAATAGCTGTCTCAGCTGGCCCAACCGTGTATATGGATGAATGAAGAGACGCGATTCGTCTAAAAAATACGATTGATGCTTCTTTGGGCTGTTTGATTGGTGATAAAATGCGTACCAAATAGAATATTGCATGCATAAGTAAGGACATTGAATCCATTTATTTGGACAAAATAAAAGGATGAATCTATTTTCGTGAATAGCCAACTTTATTTGTCTCGCAGTTGAAAGTTCATGCATAGGCCGCAACAACAAGTTGCTAAATAAGAGACTAAAATTTATAATTAACAAAGCCCGATTCATATAATGAGTTGAAATATTTTGCGTCTTTAATTGAAGTAATGATGAAGTGAAATGACCGGCAGGCAATTATTTGATGCTGTTTTTCCTGGGGATTTTGCAAAATAGAAGCGGCAAACCTTTGTGCGCAGCCCCTTCGCGGGACTCTTATAGAAGACAATGAGGATAAAAATCATTTGCTATATATTCTTCTAGGATTTTTTATATTGTGGGGGAGGTTGAGAGCCATTGCTCGTATAGATTAATGATGTACAAAGCTATAAAATATAAATATAGCGCAAGCAAATGTGTCATAAAGTATAATGTGGCATGCAGAAGATGTAAAAGAACACTAAATATGAGTCAAAAGACTCAATGACTCATACGAGGCTTGGAGCATAAGAGATCAGTGAAGGCAAAAAAGCATGTGGAGATGATTGGAAAGGGATGCCCATTGGTGCCATTAAGAGGTAGAAAAAAACATTGTTGTCAAAAAATAGAAAGTAAGACAAATTCCTTAATGTAGAGTTTGTCTAAAATAGTAAAAAAAAATGGACCTCAAAGCTGTAGCAACTCCAATCTTTTAAAGTCTAAAAAGCAGAGTAATAAAACAAGAAGCCATGAGAGACAAAAGTAAACCAAGTGTTGCTTCCAACTAAAACAAATAATAATCCAACAAAGCAGGCAAGAAGCTAAAAGAAACAAAAAATAAACAAACAGAAAGATATTAGCGCTTTCCAATTATGAAAGAAATTGTAGAGGATAGCTGAAAATTCACGACTTTGCTTTCAATTCTTCAGTTTGGCACGCAAGTAGACTCAAGAATGAATGCAAAATTGTGTCCAAATTTCCACCCTCCTTTAATGCAAAATGTAATTATTGTACAGTTAATTAATAAGGAGTTCTTGAAATTTTTGAGATATTCAAATCAACCACAAATTGCAGTATTTCCAAGATAGTTATGCTAAGAAGGAAGGTGGAGATTCAAGGAAGCCACCTTTTAAGCATAGCATTAAACAATGACCAGGAAAAAAAACCCATATTCAATTTCATATTAACATAAATGATAGAATCATGTTTCTTTTGGTAAGAATGTACAAAAAAGTTAGAGCATTGCAGATAACAAGCCAAGTGTTAAAAAAAAAAATAAATAGAGGTAAATATTTTATGCTAAACCCAATGGTGCTTGCCTACGTAGTAATACCCTCAAAACATAAGAAAATTAAGTTTTTGAAGGAAATGTTCTTATAATGATGTAAATAAATTGGGTTAAACTCTTGATTGATAACAATTGGGGGTATAATATAATGTTAATCATGCTTGAAAATTTAGTGTAATTCTATAACATCTAATATGAGTGGGAGATGAGCTCCCTAAGACTGGGTAAAGTGGGGAATGAGGAGAATGCTAAAAATCTCATTATCAAAGATCTCAACATGTAATTTGCCACAAACCTAGTGGTCTCAAAAGAGAAGAATAGAAGCCCCGTCTACAATAGAGAAAGAGTGGTCGGGCTTCATAAGAGATTCCATAATATATTTTCAAAATAGGGAGACTGCAATTGAAGATGGCTTCCATATAGAACCATATTTGATCTTGAATAATGTGAATATCAAGCTATGTACATGCTAAAGTCTCCAAATAAATTTTGAGGTAAAAGCATGCAAATGACAGGCAACAAAATAAATCCCTGATCCTCCTTTTTTGTTTGGAATGACAAGGTATCCCAAGAGACAAGATGAACTTTCTTCGATTCCAAGTAGCCATAAAGAATAAATTTAGAGATGTTGATAGATTTGATACATGTTTTGGGAAGTGAGCGCACATCAACAATAGGAAATAACATTAAAATTATTATTTTTTTATAATTTTCAACCATATTAGGAGCATATGATATTTTCAACAAAAGGCTAAAAATTAAAGCTACAATCTTGGAAGAAGACATATTGAGGCCAAGATATGCGAGCTTAGCATGGGAGGAGTGAAAACTCAATATGGTCGAATAGAGGCTAAGGATTTTAAATGCTTTTAGAAAAGGTGATGTTACATTTATAAGTATTTATATACTATCAAGTGCCTTGATCGAATAGATTGATTATACTTTCAATTCCATAAGCCTATAAGCAAAAGTTTCATCAAAAACAAAAATATCATCAACATATAAGAGGTGAGAAATGTTATAATTCTCCATGGTCATGCCATAAAATTTTCCTCCGGAAATACTAATTTGAAAAAATTGTTAATGGCCATCCATAATAATAGAAAAAAGATAGGGATAATGGGAAACTCTTTATTAGCCCTGCTATGGAGTGAATGGAATCTTCCAAAGCCAAGATAATGAATATGAAAAAATAAGCATCAGATATGTTGGTTTCAATACATGAAAGAAAGGATGAGATATACCTTCAATAACTAGTCAGTAAATAGGAAGTTCATTCTTAAAGTATCAAAACTTTTATTGGTATCTAATTTTGTATAAAATAAGGTCTTGGGCTCCTAAAAAGTCAAAAGAAATTTTGTTAGACAAAATAGAGTTGTTAAATGAACATAGCTTGAGCTCAATGAATAATCAATGGCATCACAAACTTAAGACTTTTTATTCCAAATATATGTGAAAGTTCAAGGGTTGTTAAGCCACTTGAACTGCTAAAGGCACACCAGGAGTGGGGTGAATTTATGTTTTCAAAAAAAATTCTTTTTCAAGAAATTCACAATGATTATTTTTTAAAACAAGTTTTCTCAAGAAGAAAAAAAAAAAAAAACAAAACAAAACAAAACAAAAAGAACAACCAATTTTTTTTAATCTTATAGAAAAATGAAGAAAAAAAAAATAATTTTCTTCTTTTTTATTTTCAATTTTTTTCCTTTTTTTTTGCTCATAAAAATTTAATCCAAAATAATCACAATGTTATCAACCTAGATTTGCAAGAATGTAACATGTAGTAAATTAAAAAAAAATGTAAAAAAATAATGTGCTAAAAGAAAAAGGAATAAGCACACTAGAAATGTTCTAGTTGTTTAGTCAAAACTTGACTTATGTCCACTCCTCGTAGTATTCATCTCTGGGTATTGTACTAAATCTTTAGTGATTTTCTTTTTGCCATTAGAGTAAGGCAGAGAAGCCTTTACATAATTGCTTCCATCCATCAACCATAGGGTGGAAAAGCTGAATTCCTTTCACCAACCAGGTGTGGCGGAGTAGCTAAATCCATTTCACCAACTCAGTGCAGGGGAGTAGCCGGATCCTTTGATGCCATGAGCCTTTTCCTAGAGTTTCCCTCAAGTAAAAAAAAAAAAATAAATAATCTTTGAGGAAGAAGGTGAATTTTAATGGTGAAATCGTGTGCAGAACCCCTCTCATACACCCCCTTGATCTCATAAGCCTCTTCTCTCTCAAAACCTCTCTCTCTCTCTCTCTCTCTCTCTCTCTCTCTCTCTCTCAAACACACACACACACACACACACACACACACACACACACACACACACACACACACACACACACACACACACACACACACACACACACACACACACACACACACACACACACTCACTCACACATACACACACACACACACTCACATACACACACACACACACACTCACTCACTCTCAAGAATAAAGCTCTCTTATGAAATCCTAACTTTTGTCCTTGATCTGGGTCCCTGTGTGCCTTGTGGGGGCTGTTTATTTTCTAGAGTTATATTTGGTAGCTTCCTTGTATTCTCCTTATTTTTATATCGAGTGTGGCTTTTTTCTTTCTTGTTGTGTTTGGCTGGTGTGGAATTTGTGCTTCCTTACTTGGTTGAATTGCTTCAGGCACATTGTTGAGCAGTTGGGGTGATTTTGGTGTTGTGATTCACTTGTTGGTTCGTTTCTTTATAGTATTTTTGTGGTTAACATATTAATTAAATCTATATGTGATGCCCCAGGCATCCATAGTGAAAGGATTCATTTGACAGTCTTGATCAACCATCACTTCTTGCTCCCTTGCTCAGACCTGAAATTGTTAACCACATATAATGAGCTTCAAAAAGCCCAGCAGGTCACCTAATACTTACAACTGAAATCAAAGCACGGTACTGAAACAATATGCATGTCAATCTATCAAATCCATAACAGTCAATTGCACATGATCAGTGAATCTATGCAGTATATACGAAAATCAGTACATAAACAGAAATTAATGCATAAACAATAGAATCCCAAAATTAACAGTGATAGAATCAGTGAACAGTAGAAATCAAATCAATAAAATCATATAAATCAATCAAATCAATACATCAATAATCACGTGCTATAAGAATCAATACAATGAATCAATGTATCAGTGGATCAGTAGTATCGGTATCAGTATCTGTAGTATCAATAGTATCCATGAATCAATGAATCCATAATATCGATGAATCAATAATATCGGTATTTGTATCCATGAATCAATACAATATCCATATCCATATTGGTGTCGGTATCCATGAATCAATACAATATCCATATCCATATCGG